TCCAGGAGAGCTGGGGAGGGACTCTTTGTCAGGAAGTATAGCGATAGGACGAGGGGTAATGGTTTTAAGTTGAAAGAGGGGACATTTAGATTAGATACTAGAAATAAATACTGTGAAGGGTAGTGAGAGCCTGGCCCAGGCTGCCCCATCCCTGGAGGGGTTCAAGGCCAGGCTGGATGGGGCTTGAAGGAACGTGGTCTAGTGGGAGGTTGGAACCCCCCAGGGCAGGGGGGTTGGCACTCGATGATCTTTAAGGTCCCTTCCAACTCCAACTATTCTATGAAAATACTAAATCCAGTTTAGAATATTAAATTTGCGTGAGCTCAGCCATAAAGGCAAATGACCTGTGGAGGTGAGGTGTACCTGGTGACACCTCAGTGTCTATCGGACAAAGGAAAAACTTGCTACACCAAAGTTTGCTCAGTAAGTGTTGTTGCCTTATGTTTGGGATTATATTTTAAAGTAAAATCACCAGTGTTGCTGTTGGTAAAGAAAGCTTCGAGGTGATGAGTGTGATCATGGCTAAATTTGTGCTGTCAAGGATAACCAAGGTGCTCTAACAGTGGAAGCATCTCACCAAGTTTTAGCTTCTTCTACAGAGCTGTGGGTTCAGAGACTTTTCTGCTCAGTGACTTGGGAGTGCAGGCACAAAGGTCTGACTGTGCAGGTCTGGTGGGACGATGACAGGAAGGGTAAAGTCGAAGGTGTGTATTGTGTCAGTTGGTACACGAGAGTCACCACACTGATGTGCACGAAGGCAGCTGCAAAGTCAGCCGCACTGATTATATTTCCCGTCTCCTCTGCTTAGTCATGCAATTGCAATATTTCCCTAATGTGTTGCTGTAGAAATATCAGTTACGTAAGTAGAACATTTAATCTCAGCTTATAAATGAATCCATGTAGCTAGAGTCAGGCTGTGTAGTATAATTCACATTTGACTTCCCATGACGCTATACATTCCTGTGGAAATAATTTTAATTTTGGTTAGGCCTCAATAATTTTAATTATTGGAATATAGATTGAATGAATACACTTCATGTCCTTCCATCAATGAATTCAAAACTCAGTGCTTACTGTCACTCTTAAAGCCATGTTAGCAATCAAACAAAACTTGCTTCTCTGAACTAATTTTACACCCAAACCAGTTTCTGACTCTATCCACCATCTTGTAAGATTTTTATCTCTGCTGTTTATAAGAGTTTGAATGAAATCTTTCAGTCAATGACAGTTGAAAAATCGGTCTATGTAGCTGTTCTGGACGGAGTGTTGGAGTAGTGGCTGAATATAAAGGTGCTGGGTTTGTGCTTAGTGGTAGAGCCATTGCCTGACTGTGTTCACAAGGTGCTTCGTCTTCCAGATTTTAGAGCTGCAGGTTGAAAGAAGACACTTTTCCTGCCCTGAGGAAGAGGAGGGTGGGGTTGGCAGCGTTACGCACACATAATATGCTGTGAATAAACACTCAGATTATTTAATCTCTGTCTCTAATGTTGCTCTGCTTATGTCGTGCAAACATACTCCATGTGGACCCTTGTTTATGCAAGCTATTTTTCTTGTGTGTTTTTGTCTTGCAACTTTACATTGATATTGATGTTTTTTTGCAATGGCAAGAACAAGATGCAATGTAATTCTTGAAGTGTGTGTAGGTGCACAGCTGTGTGGTACTGCTATTAAAGGGTGGAAAGGAAGAGTTTGTTGGAGAGGTAAAACAGCATCATGTGAAGCCTTTGTTTACTTAAAGCTGTGATCAAAAGGATGTAATGCCTGCATGGAGAGTCACCTCGCTGGAAGTCCATCCTCAAATCCAAGTCTTTTTGCACAGTCTGGGCTGGAGGATGGTGCCAGCAGTATTGACGTACCTTGGTGCATAGTTATAGAAACCCTGTTTTAGAAAGGGATTCCTGCCTGGAATGCTTTTGTTAGATATCCGCACATTTGGAGAACTGTCTCGGTGATGTGTTCTTGTGGTGTGTTGTCTCCCTGGTCTGCCTCTCTGGGCCTGCAGCCGCTGGAGTCACAGCCTGTCTCCCACTGGGGGGGCTTGGTCCAGGGGGGCAGCAGCAGGAGCCTGTCCTTTGGGGGCTGCAGAAGGAAACAGGTGGGAAATACAGGCTTGGTCTGTCTACTTCTGACTGCTGGAAATGCTGTAAGGTCCCACAGATCAAAAAAAAAAAAAAAAACAACAAAAAAAACCACTTTAAGACTCTAGTTGCATAAAATGGTTTTGTAGCATAGATAACTAGCATTATACCTCATTATTTGTATTCTTAAAGCTTCATTCTTATACAGAAATGACTGCTTTTCCTTAAGACTTTGTCAGTGTTTTGAGAGAGGAATGCCATTACTTAAAATGAAACCTTATAAAATGTGCTGAATCTGAATAACTCAGATTGCCCAAACCTACTTTGACTCCTACAAGGATTTTCCTGTGTCCCATATGCACAATTTCACAGCCCTTTTGGGTGTAAGACATTTCAATAGAGGTTTACACCAGGATTTTTTCCCCCGAGTTTCATTTTTGTCTGTGCTGTTACAAAATTACGTGCTCTTATCTGCTGTCTGGTTACTACGTTAAATCTAAGTTGCAGCCTGAGATGTATATACATTGTAGTGCATTTATTTTCATAATAGATGGTTTGTAACTTAATAATTCATATTTTATTTTCATTTCACTTAATTGTACATGGGTATTTTCTGGAAGCATCTACTTTGCAAGGTTAGTAAAATGCTTTCCAATGGCCTTATAAATCAAAGTTTAGAAAATTTCTTGTTAGTAATCAGCAACCTGTTAATTTGTAACAGTTGAGAGTTCGTTTTTCTACAGATCAAGGATAGATGAAGTGGCATGGGTATTTCTTACTGTGGTGATGTCAAAAAAAGACAGGAATCTGTTACTGCAGCAAGCTTACCCCTGAGCTGCAGGCGGAAAGGGGCTTGGTGAATAGGAGCTGGAACATCTGGACAAGCGTGGCTGCAGAAGTGGCTGTGGAGCCCCAAACAGCTCCTGCATCCGAGGGCAGGTGGGTGAATTTTCCAGCTCCAGTGCAGCAGGACTGGTGCAGAGCCATGCACCAGTTACAAGGGGCTGGTTTATACCAGGTTGTGCTGTGAGCAGCAGAAGCAAGAAGCTCTGCTTCCAGAGGGTTTCCGTGCTTCGTCCCCAGTAAGCGCCCTGTTTTTGGAACAGTCTTCAATCAAGAACGCGCTGAGGGTCTGGGGAGTGATGCGGCTGGAGGATCTTGCCTGCAAAGTGAATTTATGATATAGAGAGGAATTAAACTCACCCTTACGAGTCTCATCTCCTGATCTGAGAGACAGTGGGCAAACTTTGGTACTTACCCCTTTTGTTTCAGATAGTGGCAATGCTGGTATATGTAGAAAAATATGATATAGGTTCTGAGAGAGATGCCTTTGCTGCTTTGGTATCCCTGCGTGCGGCACTCCAGGGGTGGGAAGAGAGTATGACCAAGAATATGTTTCTGCTGCACGTCTGAAGTGGGGATCTCTGCTGAGTAGGATGCTGAGTAAAGATGGAGCCTTACCGGGATAAGCTCTGTTAGGAAGCAGAGCAGTGCCCAGAGACTTGTCTTTTGGTTGTCTAAATAATTATAATAGAGCCACAACCTTGTTACTGGCTTCCTCTCAGGTTTCCTTTTCTTGTTCTTTCTGTCAGTGACTGGTGTTTCCTTCACAAATTTTTAGATTAAGGGATGTTGGATGCCGCTTATGTACCATCGCTCAAATCTATACGTGTTTTCTGCTCTGGACGCTGCTAAGTTTAAAGGCCGTTGGGAAGAATGAGCAGAATGATGAAAGTACCTCAGAATACAAGGCATTCATCATTAAGTGACTTAAGGGAGTGTTCAAGGTAGGAAGATCCCCAGGAGCCAAAAGACCAAAAGTATTGGTAGGACTTCAGAAAGTGGGTTTCTCCACCTGTCTTGAATGACTTCCTGTGGGATGCAGCATCCACACAGTTCCCCAGACTGACTCCTGCAGAGGCTGTGGGATGCGGAGGATAACGATTTCTGGATCAAGCACTGGCTGACTGGAAGGTCCCAAAGAGTTGTGCTCAATGGATTTACGTCCAGCTGGCGGCCGGTCACAAGTGGTGTGCCTCAAGGCTCAGTGTTGGGACCATTTCTGTTTAACGTCTTTATTGATGATCTTGATAAGGACATAAGGTGTATCATCAGCAAGTTTGCAGATGACACCAAGTTAAGCAGGAGTGTTGACTCCCAGGAGGAGAGGGAAGCTTTGCAAGAGGATCTAGATAGATTGGATCACTGGGCCAATGCCAATGGAATGAGTTTCAACAAGGGCAAGTGCCAGGTCCTGCACTTGGGCCACACCAACCCCCTGCAGCGCTACAGGCTGGGGGAAGTGTGGCTGGAGCTGCCTGGACGAAAGAGACCTGGGGGTTCTAGTTGACAAACGGCTGAATATGAGCCGGCCGTGTGCCCAGGGGGGCAAGAAAGCCAATGGCATCCTGGCTTGTATCAAAAATAGTGTGACCAGCAGAAGTAGGGAGGTGATTGTCCCCCTGTACTCAGCACTGGTGAGGCCACACCTCAGGTATTGTGTCCAGTTAGTTCTGGGCACCTCAATACAAGAGAGATATCGAGGTGCTGGAGCGAGTGCAGAGGAGGGCAACGAAGCTGGTGAGGGGGCTGGAAAACAAATCGTATGAGGAGCGGCTGAAGGAGCTGGGGCTGTTTAGTGTGAGGAAGAGGAGGCTGAGGGGAGACCTCATCACTCTCTACAACTACGTGAAAGGACACTGTAGAGAGGTTGGTGCTGGTCTCTTCTCACAGGTAATTAGTGACAGAATGAGAGGGAATGGCTTCAAGCTCCAACAGGGTAGGTTTAGATTGAACATTAGGAAAGAATTTTTCACCGAAAGAGTGATAGGGCATTGGAACAGGATGCCCAGGGAGGTGGTGGAGTCCCCATCCCTGGCTGTGTTTAAGGGCCATTTAGATGCAGTGCTAAGGGACATGGTGTAGGGGAGGACTTTGTAGAGTAGGGTAGATGGTTGGACTTGATGATCCCAAGGGTCTCTTCCAACCTAGACGATTCTATGATTCTATGATTAGTGTCAGTATTGGAGAGTCATGGGGCAACATGAGCATGGGGCCATTTCTTGGCAGACTCCGTTAGCCAAGTTGTGGCTTCTCTTGCCCCCTCTCTGTGAAATGTGGTTCAGGCAAAGAGAGTGGCATTGGGCCTTAGTCCACGGCTGCGTGTGCTGGCTGGCAGGCAGGCTCTGCCCAAAGGAGGGCTCGGAATTCCTCTTGGAGTGGCTGATCTGAAAAGAAAATGCTCAGCGCTGCTTCTCGCTTTGCAGGGGGGGCTGCCTCTACCTGTTGTGTCTCATGTATTTTGTCCTCCTGGAGTCTGAGTTCTTGTGACTCGGAGTCCATCACCACTGGTGACGCTTGCAGTGAAATAACAGGATGTTGGCCTATAATCCATTTTCCGTCCATCGTCTGGGGGGGGCAGGAACTTTCCAGAGAAATTGCAGCTAGCCAGAGCTAGCGATCTTCACAAGTTTATACAGTTTTAAATGCAGAATTGGTTACAGCCTTTCTAATTTGAAATTTTCCTATGTTTCAGTCTCAAGAGATTAAAGCAGCATCTTATTTTTTGTTGGAAGAGCACCGCCTGGTTATCTGTAATAGCAATTTTTATTCCCTCTACCTTGTTTCTCTTGCTTCTTTGTGCTGTTAGCCAAATCCTGTGAATTGAGGAGCGTGGCTTTCTGTGTAGAGGCATTTGTGAGAGGAGAGGGGTAACGTTGTGTTCATCCACAGCCTCTGGATTTCACCAGGCCAAGCGTGGTACCCAACACAGGACTGAAAATAGCTGTGAGGTTCCTGTGTAGTCGGTTGGGAGAGGTAGGTATCTCCCAACTCCTCCCACTGGTGACAGAGAGGCGGGCAGCTGTGTTCCTAACCTAAATGCCAACGTGAGTCCTGTTGCTTCCTGGCCAAGGTCACAAGTCTGGGGAGGAATCCTCAAAGGCAGCTGAAACTGCAGCACCTCCAGTGACAGACTTGTGATGGGCCCTAATGCGAGGTCAGGGGTGTGGGACAGGAGCACAGCAGGAGGAGGAGGAGGTGCTGCTTTTCTCTCTAAGCCATTTGCTGTCTCTGTATTTAGTGCTGGGTTTTTTATTATTTTGATTGTTGAGGTTTTGTTTTCTTGTTGTTTAGTTTTTTTGAGAGGCCGGCTGGATGCATCAGAAGGCTGTTTTTGTAAAGGAAAAAGGAAATTTAGGTGTGGGAAAGAGACATGAAACTTATTAAAAATCTTTTGCAATTTTAGATTTTGGGCAAAGCCTTGTTGAGTGTTGATTCCAGCTGCTAGTGCAGCTGAATACTTTGCAGATACAAGCTTCCTGGTGCAGCTCTGGCCCTTGCATAGGGACCTGTGTCCCCTGTTGGGAGGGTCTAGAATTACAAGGATTTTCAACTAAGAGCTCTACATTGCTATATGACTTCTACTGCAAAGTAAATACTTGATGCTTCTCCTAACTACAGGGTTTTTTTGGAGGTACATAGGTATTCACAGCATGCAAAAATGCAGCAAATCTGTTAGACAAGCATGCTGAAGTAGAGAAAGAAGTAAAAAGAAGAAATCATAGGGAAAATTTTATTAAACACCTTCACTTCAGAGCAATGAAGTAAAATTGCTAAGTGAGTGGTACATTTTGTAGAAATGTATTCTGAGTGAGTTCTGTTTCAACTAATAAGTCTAATCTTCAAAATACTATCTCTTGCTAAGAAATCAGCTGAACGCCTGATCTTCCAAGGAAATAAACCTATTTCAGGAACAGCAGTGTGTGCTGATACTGGTGACATGGTAGTGTTTGAGGGAGAGGTTTCTAGAGAAGGGTTTCAAGTTTCTCTGGGTTCAATTTAGTGTTCAAAAATAACTGAGGATGATCACAATTAGGATTAAAAACATAAAGCAGTCATAGTTTACCTTGAGATCTGCTAAAGTAGGAAGCCAAAAAGGGGGAGTAGTTTGTGCTGTGATGGTTAAGTGGCTTTATATGTGCAAAACATCAGACTTGGTTGCTGTTTGACAGTGAAATTGTGATGCCTGACATCCTGTATTCCAGTCAGATTATTTTTTTTTCAGTCAAACGTTGATTATTCCCACCCTGTTAATCAAGGATTGGGGAATGAGTCACACAAAGCAAACTATGTGCTAGAAGTAAAAAGATAATTTGGTTAAAAAGGCTTGATGCAAAATTGGAGATCTCAGGTTGGGAGGAACCTCAGGATGTCTCTGGTCCCACCTGCCACTTACCACAGCGGCATTCAACAGAGTTTGCATCACGTTGCTCAGGGCTTTCTCCAGTCACGTCTGGACAGGCTGGAGAAGGGGGACCATGTGAATCTCATGAAGTCCAACGTGGCCAAGTGCAGGATCCTGCACCAAGGTCAGGGCAACCCCCGGTACCAGCCCAGGGTGGGGATGGAGAGCAGCCCGGCTCAGAAGGGCATCAGCCCCAGAATTTCAGAAGGCGTTTGAGTTCATTAAGGCGTAGTGTCACAGCAAGCACCAAAAGTGTGAGATCAAGTGAAATATTCTTGAGAATTTTAGTTTTTAAGGAATGAACTTGTTCATATAGACATTTTAGCCCGTTATGTTATCTTGCCAAAATGTATCTGGAGGTCAGCCATCAGCCAAAAAGAAACCACCTGCAGGAGCTATAAATGAGTGCAAAGACCTCAGGCTAACAGTGCTTGTGATGCTTTTTGCTCTAGCATAAGACCAGAAATATCCACCTCAGATTCCTCAGGGTTATTACGAGGTGTACAACTCTGATTAAATATGTGTTTGGGAGTCTCTCCAAACATGACTTTTAATGTGGTCCAATTTTGAAGCTACTCTTTCATAAGACAGTTGCTGAGGTTTACGGGTGTGTGTCTTGTAGTGTTTAGGGGAGATCAGAGCCAGCAAATAGTCATCTTACAAGTCTTTATCAGAGGCAAATATAAGCTGTCTTTAAATATTTGTGTCTTTACTTAAAGACAGTAGGAGCTGTGATGAGAGTTTTAAAGGAAGGCTTCCTGAGGGAGGGCCCTGGGCTCTGTCCTGTCTGTCTCAGGCCGCGCTGCAGAGCTGTGCGAGGCCGTGGCTTCCCTGTGAGCAGATGGGGCAGTTACGCTATTCAACATTCTGCAACAGAGAGGAGTGTGAATTCATGACAGGATTTATGCTGTTTATTACTATTAAAGGATTGCTATGGGTGTTTCAGATCCCAAAGAGGAGAAGGAAGAGGAGGAAGTCTCCAGTGTCCTCACCCATGGCTCTGCTGTCAGCAGGCCCAGCAGAAGCTGGCGCAGCAGCAGGTCAGCTGGGGTGGCCCGGCAGCGTGATGCCGAGAACTCCCGTGCCTCCAGATCCAAGACTGGTACCCTGCAGCTCATCTGCAAGTCGGAGCCAAATACGGACCAGATCGAGTACGGTACGTGGGAAGCCCTGGCTTGAAAGTGCTTGGAGATAGTCAGGTCTGGGGAACCTCTGCAGGGTGCTGGGTGTGGGTGTCACTCTGGAGACGTGGCTGGTACAGGTGTGGTGCTGCTTGGTCACAAGTACCTTCTGCCACCAGCACTCCCGGCACTGAATGCCAATGGAGGTATCTTGAGGCAGATGAGTTCGCTGCAGTGAACACAGATTGAAACCTAATGGTGACTTTTCCTTTCAGAGGTCACAGAAGAGCATCAGTCTCCAGCTGGAATCAGGTAGGAAACTTTTTATTTTGTGATATCTCTTCCTCTTTAGTGTCTCAAAAAGGGAAAATAAGGGCCTGAGTTTTTTCAAAATAAATGCTCCTGTGAAAGGATCTATGGGATGGATAGTAGCTCTGTTTTCATTCAGTCCTGGACCTTTGCATTTTCAGTCTGGATTATGGATGGACTGCAGATGTCAGGAGATACTGTGGATAGTAAGATTCAATATGAGCATTTCACCTGGTGGCTTTATAGCTTCCGGAGCAGACGCTGTAGTTAGGTGGGTTCACAAGAGGAGACTGCTCTGCCCAGGCTGTCTGTTCTGGCTGTCATCATGCTCCTTTGTTAGTGTAAGCTGTCAGCTCTCCCCAGTCGTGCTGGACGAGACAGTGCTGTGTAATAGTGTCTCTCCCATCTGAGGGGATGATGCATGAATATGCTTAGTAGTAGTGCTTAAGCTGTTGCTGCTGAAGTCCCGTGTTTTTCTTTTCTCCCAGCAGTGATGATGAGGAGGAGATGCTCATCAGTGAGGAAGAAGTTCCCTTCAAAGATGATCCAAGAGATGAAACCTACAAGCCCCACCTAGAAAAGTATATTGGATTACATACTTACTGTGGTTTTAGACCAAGAAAAAATCATGACATCTTAGTTGAATGAACTCGATATAACCCAAAGAACCTGTGCTAGTTGCTGAGGTGGAATGGCTCCCAATGGACACAGTGTTTTCTAAATATTGCCTGCAGCTGTAGGGACTGTTCTTCTCTAACAGACTAAAGTCTTTAGAGCCCTGCTGGCTACCAGGTTCTTCCTTAATCCTTGTTCATACTTCTCCTTAGAAGTGGAATGATAAATACACCTGAGCTTCCATCAGGTGATTTTTGCTTAAATCTTTGTAAAAAGCAGACAACTGGGAGAGTATTTGAGTGATATGTTGTATTTGTATCTTTGCAGGGAAGCACCAAAACAGAGGAGAAAAGCTAGCAAGGGGAAGGAGGAAAAAGAGAAACAGAAGGAAATTAAAGTAGAAGTGAAAGAAGAGAGTGAGTTTCAGGAAGATGAAGAACAACCAAGGAAGTGAGTAAAGCTCTGCAGTTTTATGTAGCAGTGTGTATTGTATATTTTGCATACTTGCTGGTGTACAACAGGGTTTTGTTGTTTTTGGCTTCCCCCCCCCCCTCCTCCTCTGGGCCTGGAAGATAATAGGGGAGAACCCTTTGTTCTCATGGAAGTCCTGCTGCCTAGTATCTTGCATGTGTTTGGCGAGGAAAAATAAACAAGTAGTTATTTTCATTTACTTTAAGTTGAGGAGTTTTTCTCCATACTGTGGTTTAGTCAGCCTACCTGGATATGGCCATACATGGGAAATACTTTAGAGCACTCTTAAAATTGGTTTCTGGTGCAATGTCTGAGGTGGATTAGAAAGCCAGTCTGAGAAGGCAGCATCTCTTCTGTTGTGTGCCTAGAGGCAGAGACAGGGATACTTTGTACATGTTGCGTGGTCAGTGTCTTTGTACATTTGGGGCTAACATGCCAGAGCTCAGGAGAAACAGCTGGGTTCTCCCTCATTTTGGAGAAATAAAAGAACAGACTTTTCCTACATAGTGAATCACTAGCGCTTGAGTGGAGACTCACCACCTTTGGCTATGTTGCCACTGGAACTCAACACTGAAGCTTCACTTCTGGCAACTGAGGCAGGTTGGATTTGTGTGTGTGTCAAAGGTGTTCTTTGGGATAGTGCGGGGGCGGGGGGGAAAGCAAGCTTTGTATTTAAGCTCCTCTATAAGCAATTGGAACAAATGGGGCTCCCTCTGCTGGTCTGCATCGTGGGGCTCTGCACATCTTTGTTTTATTTCTCTTGCTGTTTCTAAGCTGCTGCAGAGCAGATTTACATTGGAGGGGAGTAAGGATGATGATCTTCTGAGAACTTTTTTTTTTTTCTTGTTAGAGATGGCTTCCTAAGGCTTGCAGTTGTGTTGTTTGGATCAAACACTACTTTTGTGCATAGTAAAGTCTATCCCTTTTCTGGAGGCTTGGCTTGAATGCTGTGTGTCTGTTCAGCATTTTACTGGCATGGTCTTGCTATCAATAAAGATGCCTCAGTGCAGTCTGTAAAAGGCTTCCATCAATCTACTGTAAGTGTCTCTGCAGCAATACGTTCAAACAGCCATGATGTTCTGGGCAGAACTATTACTTGGGAGGGTGCATTTTACATATAAGCTCAACAGAGCATAGATATTTTTTTTGTTTTGTTTTGCCAGGTGTATAAGCTGCTATAGTTAATTCAGAGGAGCTTGCAGTTGATGAGGCAATATCTTGCTAAATGTCTGCAGCAGAAACTTATGAGAGCAGAATCTCATGTGCTGATGTGCAGCCTGGAAAGGGATTGATTTAATTATAAGGTTGCAAGTTGTTTGGGCAGTTGCAGGTTTAAAAGAAAAAATGTGGAGCATGTGATGCCTGGTTCAGGTTTTTTTAAAGTAGCCCTTCCTCACTCTGTTGTGGCAGAAGAGCTGGTAATTTCTAACCTCTTGATCTCTGCCTGTCTGATACCTGTGGGGTGAGACACGCTTGAGCTGGGCAACCATGTTCAAAAATGTGTAGCGTGCTGCACCTAGCAGGTCATCAGGCAGCCACAGCCTGGCTGTGTTTGGCAGGGGCAGGATGATTTCAGGTCTGCCCTATGCCACTAAATGTCATGCAGAAAAAAAGTGTCACCAAGGTATCCGAAACATGGGGACCACCGTTCCACAGGGAGTGGTCTTCTGTCTGATGTGGCAGTTCTGCAAAATGCAGGGACAATTTGCATGGAGGCCTGGTGTCCTGGCTTCAGCTGGGACAGAGTTAATTTTCTAATGGTTGCTGTATTTTCAGATTTGGTATGAAAGGAATGTCAGTAATGTGTATTAGTTGTTGCCAGGTGATGCTTATATTTTTCAAGGACTTTTTTTCAACTTCCCATAGTAGCTGAGGAAAATCATAGACAAAAAGATAGAATGGCCAATGGAATATTCCATACCATGGTATATAAATGGGGATAGCCAGGGCAGGGGGAGTACTTGTGATCGCTGCTTGGGAAGGTACCAATCACCAAGTGGTGAGTGAATTGCATTATTGTTGTTGTTTTCCTTTTCCGTTACTGTTCTATTAAACTGTCTTTATTTCAACCCACGAGGTTGTTTTTTTTTTCCTTTCCTTTTCCACTCATTTTCTCCGTCTTTTCCCTGCCCTTCCAGGGGAAGGGGCGGAACTGTGTGAGTAGCTGCATCGTCCTGGTTGCTGGCTGGGGTTAAACTATGACACGTGGTTACTTAACTTCATTAGGGAACCTGCCCATCTATTACAAGAACATTTCCTTAGAAACTCCTCAGGTGTTTTGATCCAGAGCTGGTGGCTGACTTAGCAGAGCAGCTGACTTTCTGGGTGCAGTGTTACTTTTCAGCCTAAAAGTGTAGAAGAGTTCTGTAGTATTTCTTGTAGCACACTCCTGCTTTATAGTATATGCTTCAAAAAAACTCTGCCCAATGATGATGTAAAGAAGCTTCTTTCAATTCTGTTTCTGTAACCCTGTTACAGGAGGGGAAGGAGGAGAAAGGATGACAAGAGCCCAAGGGTGCCCAAGAGGAGGTAAGTGATCCCCTCAGTTCTGTGCTGAACGCTTGTTACCATTGTAGTTTACAGAGAGATGTTGATTGTCTCAAAGCCTTCTCTCTTGCACAGTATAGAAATCTGCCCTAAAAGGGAAAAAAAAAAAACAACCAACCCCCCCCCACCCCCCCGCAAAAGGCAGCATACTTTGACTTCCCTCCTTCCCCCTTCTCCCTGTAGGTGTGGGTTTGATTTCTGCCAACTGAATGGGCCCCCCCTGCCCCCACTTCTAAGTTGATCTCTAGCTTGACATTGCCCAGCAGTAAGGTTCTGGGAACTCTGTGGCTCCTGGCATTTTCTCAGCTCTGGGGGGAGCCCTCTGGTAGCGCTGGGAGTGGAGGGAACTCTTGGACACAGTCTCTGTCAGGGTAGCCCAAACAGGACTATTGGAGCAGTAATCCAGTAGTCCTTTGCTGTTGCATCACTGAGTACCCTGGCACTCATTTATCTGGCTGCTGTCCTGGCTTCAGGTGCATCAGCTCACCACTGCCCATCTCCTTACTGACCCTAGGAAGAAGCCTCCAATACAGTATGTCCGCTGTGAGATGGAAGGCTGCGGCACAGTCTTGGCTCACCCGCGTTACCTGCAGGTGGGTTGAGGTTTTTCCCTTCCTGAACGGCGTGTGTGAGCGCAGGGAACGGCCTTTGGAACTGGCGGCTAATCCTCCACTGGCACTGAAGCACTCCTTTCTAACACTGTCTTTTTGGTAGACTTAATCAATTGTGGCCAGTTGTGGCCACGTGTGTCTCTGTACCTGTCCTGTTGTTAGATGTCCACGTATGTTTGGCTTACTTCTCTCAGTGGAGATCAAAGCCTTTGAGTTCATGGTATAAGTGTGTCTTGTCTGTGACTGGAGCCTGGTGGCCTGCTGAGGGGCCATCTGAGATCAGTCTCAGCTGTTCTCTTAGTTGTGTAAAGAGAGAGTCTGCCACCTTTCACCTCTTCCTTTATAGCATCACATAAAGTACCAGCACTTGCTGAAGAAAAAATACGTGTGTCCTCATCCCTCCTGTGGTCGGCTCTTCCGACTCCAGAAGCAGCTCCTGCGTCATGCCAAACACCACACAGGTACAGGGAGGTGGGAAATAGATACAGATTCCTCTTTAGGTCAGAGGGGAAAAACAATGAAAAACCTCTAGGACTTAAGGGGAGAGTGAAGCCAAGGCACGTGGCATAGATTTGCCCCAGCAGCAGGGTATTATTTCCTTCTGGATTATCATATTTTAAGGAAATGGAAGAAATAGGCTATAGAGTTTTTAATTCACCCCCTGGCAAGTATCACTCAGGGATTTTGTACAGGAATAAAACAAGCCAAGCTTTATCCTAACTTGCCAGTCTTGCTGTATTGGTCAGAATGGATAATTAGCTCTTAGGAGAGTCTTAATCATGCCTTAACTTTCCAGATCAGCTGCTGTGCAGTATTGTGGGACCCCTCCTCCTCTGGTCTCCCTGCCAGCCTCCCAGCACTTCTAGTTCTGCTGCTTCTTGCGCAGCTCTACCTGCAACATGTGAGAGCTGGGAAAGGGAGCAGGTCTGCGGGAGAGTAATGCTTCAACCGGTCTTGCCTTTTAGATCAAAGGGATTACATCTGTGAGTACTGTGCCCGGGCGTTTAAGAGTTCTCATAACTTGGCGGTGCACCGAATGATCCATACAGGCGAGAAGCCCTTGCAGTGAGTACCTCTGCCTGTCTCTTGCTCTCCTGCTTTGAGGGACCCTTGGATACACCCATTCTTGGGCTGCACCGAGAGCAGGGCAGCTCCAAAGTCAGGGTCAGAACCTGTTCTTGGTGTCCCAGCTCTCTTTAAACGCACACCTGTAGGAGCATTTGAGCTGCTACTTGTCTCACTTGCTTCTTGAGGCAGTGTCTCAGCAGAGGTCTGAGGAACCTAAGACCTCTGCAAATAAAACTGGAAAAGCTGGAGCTGCAGTGAAATCTCATCTTAGTGAGCCCCTGATGTGTTTCTGGGCTGTCTCTTTGCTGCTGTTGTCCCCACAAGTGTCTGGGGATGTCCCTTTGTTGTGACCTGCCCCTTCTCCCCTCCCAGGTGTGAGATCTGTGGATTCACCTGCCGGCAGAAGGCTTCCCTCAACTGGCACATGAAGAAGCATGATGCAGACTCCTTCTACCAGTTCTCCTGCAACATTTGTGGCAAGAAATTTGAGAAGAAGGACAGCGTCGTGGCCCACAAAGCCAAGAGCCACCCCGAAGTGCTTATTGCTGAAGCGCTGGCTGCCAATGCGGGTGCCCTGATCACCAGCACCGACATTCTGGGCACTAATCCTGAGGCCATTGCGCCACCCACTGATGGCCAGGGCCTCCCCCTTCTTCCTGACCCCCTGGGAAGCACTGCCCCAGCAGATTGTCTGCTGCTGAACCCCGAGGGGATGCCGAAGACATACTGCAGTGGTGCGGAGCGTGTCAGCCTGGTGGCTGATGGCAAGCTCTTTGTGGGCAGTGGCAGCAGTACAAACCCAGAGGGGCTGGTCATGAACACGGAGATCCTGGGAGCCACCACAGAGGTGCTCATCGAAGATTCAGACTCCACTGGACCCTAGTGGGTGGGGAGCACGTGGGTGCTGGGACAGTTTGGACTCTGTATTTAAAAGAAAAGAAAAAAGGAAAAAAAAAAAAAGAGGAGACACTTACTGAAAGAGAGAAAACTTACAATACTAGTAAATAACCGAAGGGTCTGCTCCCTTCCAGTGTGGATCACAGCACATCCTCTCCCAACCACTTCTCTCTCTCCTACTGCTCCTTTGTAGAAAGGGGCACATGCTGCCATTACCAGAGCAAGTTGGACTGAGCGACAGATTTCTCCAAGGGAGCGGGGCCTGCTGAAACCCTTTGCTCAACCCCAAAGCAGATGCCTTTCTGGCTCCTTGACGTGGCCCCACTCGCAAACGAGAAAGCATTTGCTGTGCTCTGGACAAGTTTCTTAGGACTCCCTCTGGCCCCTGGTCCCAACTTCTATGCATCGCTGCACTCCAGTCCTTGCAGTCTCATTCTTCCTACGGGGCTGGGGGTTTGGCTTGGCACTTTAGCCCCCCTCGGCAGGGCGGGCTGTGAAGCCATGCACGTCCTGCTCCCTGCCGTGCTCCTCCGCTCGGCTCTGGCAGGAGCTGAGGGAACGCCCTGGCTCATAGATCATGTTTGCTTGGAGAGGCCCGGGGGCTACGGGAGCCCTGCGTGGGAGAGGCGAGGAGGAGCATCCCAGTTTGACGACAGTAATTTGCACTTTGAACATGTTTCGTTTTTGTGTTGTGGTAACAAGATTCCTTATTTATTGATTAAAAAAGGGTCGGTATTTTTAAGTTATGTTCTTAGGGGGTGTGGGTGGAAGGGGTTCACGCTGTTTCCCGGTAGGCTCCTCCGCACTAGCGAGCTGCAGGGAGTACGCTGTGCCATCGTAACAGCAGCTGGGAGAGCTGAGGTGAAGGCAGCCCTCTGGAGTCAGATGTCTCTTGCAGCTTTTCCTGAGTAGAGGGAGAAGAGCCTGTTTGCAGTGGGAGTCTCTGCAGCGGTGTTTTGGCAGGAGGATGAGGTGAGTGGTGGAAGAGCCAGCTGTTGTCTCCCTCCCAGGTTGGGGCAAGCTCCTTGCATTCAGTGCTCTTTTTGCCGCCTCCTTGCTCTCCAGCCTTTCTGGGAAGAATACCATTAGTCAGGAACTTTTTCTGGTGACTTAGGACAGTTGTGACCTGCTTTCTGCTGGGGGATGTTGTGCTCCTCATCCAACTCTGCCTCTCCAGCTCTAGACAGAGATACAGAAGCAGGATGTGGTTGTCTCAGGCTTGTTTATCCAAGGCAATAGACTGACGCAGGACTAAGGGGCTGTCAGCTTCTCTCCCTGCCCCTGTTTTGGGCTGAGGGTGTTGTGCAGCCCTGTTCTCAAAGCTTCTCTTCTGTGCAAACACCCCTGCTTTCGGTGAAATGTGGCAGTTCAGGTGTTGCCTGCTGGTGCAGTGAGGACAGCTCTGAGCCCTTGGAAAAGTTTACATAGGGTACGATGTGTCTGCTATGGAGACTTGAATCTTTTTGCTCCTATCTGAAACTTTGTGTGGAAATTCAGTGGCCTTGAATTCATAGTGTTTTTGGAAGAAGAGAAGAATAACCTGGGCTTTTTGTTTGTTTGCTTGTTTTTTTGGTTGGGATTATGTGGTTGGGAGCAGAGCTGAAGTATCTTGTCCGAGCACAAGATCAGCTAAATTGGTCTGTAGCACACAGCAGCTAGGCAAAATTGGTTGTCTGGGGTCTGGAGAATGGCAATAAAACATGGAATTTAATTGGAAGCTTTTTACAGTAAACTGACTCGAGCACTCTGTCCCCTTGTGCTGCCTGGAAATCCAGCTGTGGCTCGAGCCTCACGGCTTTTATTGGGCTATTTGTCCTGATTTGCCCCATCCCTTCCCCCCTTACACGGGTACCTTTGTCAGAGCAAGTTGAAACACTTCTGGTGTTGGGGCGGTTCCTGGCAGAACAGATTGCAACTCCGGTGTCTTGTGCCCTGGGTGTGGGCATCCCACATTCATGCTCTGTGGCAGTGGCGAGGCTCCACCAGCCTCTGCTGGAGATGAGGACGAGGGCCCAGGTACCCGAGCGTGGGTCTCCGGGGACAGTGCCTGTCAGGTCTGTGGTGGTACAGTGTTGAACCAAACCAGCTTCTTCAGTTCCCGTGTTCCAATTTCTTGGATCAAATTACTGTGATTTCCAGCAGGAAGCTTTTGGGTGGCCCGCCGGTCCCCTCCCCTTGCAAACTAAAGAGCAGCAGCACAATGAGACATGTTCAAACCCAACTCGGATGTTTTCACCCCCTGAGCAGTGCAGGTCTTCTGGCTGAGCCACGCTGTGTGGCGGCGTGTCCCCTGGCCCAGCATCCCGGCTGTCGGTGGCAGATACGCTCCTGTGGTGCTGGTCAGCCATGTTGTCCCCACGCTTGCTGCACACCACGCTGCTGGAGCTGTTTCTCGTGCCCTGCCCTGTGGGGGTGCGGAGTGAGCAGAGCCTTGCACAGAACACTAATCGGAGAGCTCGGGGTTTTATTTTCTGAGGGATGGCACTAAAATGCTTTTGGGTGAAGGGCTTGCTCCCCTCCAGTGACACAACACTTGGCACCTGGCTGGGAGGCAGGGGAGGCTGCCTTGTCCTGCGTCTTCCCCAACTGAGCCCAGCAATGAGTTTGCCATTGGCCACGTTCCTGGGACGCAGAATCAAGCAGCTCATTTGCTTCCCGGCCTGGATGCCTCTGATCCCTGCCTTGTCCTTCCATGCAATACATGCCTCTTGTAGCTCTCCTTTTTCTTTTTCTGGTCTCGGCCAGTTTCCTGTCTGTCCTTTAACCACAGCCTGCTAACTAACCCCGGTGCAGGAGAGACTGGTGCAGCTCCCTTCCCGCTCCTGTTTGAAAGCCTAAAACTGACACAGCCCTCCTGCAGCTCCTCCTCCCCTCGATGTCTCCTTCACTCGCATGCAGTTTGCTTCAATAAATTATTGTAGTAGTTTGCAATAAACTTTTTTGTATTTTTTTTCCCTGTATTTATTTTTTTTTCTCCTCCCGGGGAGGGCACAGAGGGGCGCAGGGCCCCTAGCCTGCCCCCAGCGCCCCAGCGAGCGCTGTGCCTGGGCAGCGGGCAGGGTCTGGGCCGGGGGCTGTTCCCGCGGGAGCTGGGGGGCTCTCACAGCTCAGCAGCGCTTTCTGCAGTAGCCACCAGGTGGCAACCACGCTGTTGGGTTGGCCACCGGCCCTGGGAGCTGGGGCCTGGGGGCCAGGGCAGCCCCCTGGCCAGGCTGAGCAAGGCTCAGTGTACTGTGATATGAGAGGGAAACTGCTTTTCAGCTCCTGTTTTTTTGTGCGGGCAGGGTTTGGGCCGGGTGCTGTTCCCGCGGGAGCTGGGGGGCTCTCACAGCTCAGCAGCGCTTTCTGCAGTAGCCACCAGGTGGCAACCACGCTGTTGGGTTGGCCACCGGCCCTGGGAGCTGGGGCCTGGGGGCCAGGGCAGCCCCCTGGCCAGGCTGAGCAAGGCTCAGTGTACTGTGATATGAGAGGGAAACTGCTTTTCAGCTCCTGTTTTTTCTCTTAATCTGGGTAATACATAACCAAAATAAATATACTGAGGAAAAACCAAACCAACCAAAAGGGCTGTTTTTGTCTTGGTGCATGCAGCTCAGCTGTGGTGGGTGGCTGGTGTTGCCCTGGGGTGGCTAGGACCTCCTCCCCTGTCTGCAGCCCTCCTCTGGGGCAGAGTCCCTCTGGGAAAGTGGGGTTAGACCTGGGGGACCCAGTTCCCCACAGCCATGGGGGCCTAAGAGGGCTGGAGGCAGACAGTCCCCTTAGCAGCCTTCTTCTGGGGTTTGGTTTGCAGCCTGGCCATTGCTGGGGCTCCCCTCCGTCCCTTGCTGGCAAACCCCCAGCGCCCTGCCCCACTCAGGCCCCAGGCCGCTGCCCAGGCCGAGGTGTTGAGCAATGTCTGGGCTTTGCTCGCCTCTTCCCGGCAGTGGTTTCCCGCGCTCCAGCATGAGCCGGGGGATTAGCGTGCTGCTCATCGCACCGCGCGGCTGGGAGGGGGAGTGGGTCAGGGCTGGCAGCCTGCTGCCGCCGGGCAGGACCATTCTGGGCAAGGCGCTTGGAGTAGCAAAGCGTGGGGGAATTAGGGAAATAATCTGTCGCTGTTGATCCCAGTGGCGGGAATTTGCAGCGTTGTGCCAGGCCCCAGGCGCGGAAGAGGGGGAGAGCCAGGCCGGCGGATGTGTGAGCGGAGCTCCCAGCTGGAATGCACCAGCTCAGCAAGGGATTGTCCTCCCCGGGCCGGGCGGGCACCGCGCCGGGAGCCTGGTGCCTGTGACGGCTGCCCAGGCCATGGCGGCAGCAGACAGCCCCTCAGCCGCCCTGCGGCGACGCGACCTCTGCAGCCGAGGTATCCGCCTGGCCGGGAAGATGCGCTCGGATGTCATCGACCTCCTGGACACTTATGTGAGTTTACCCCATTCCCTCCGGCTGCCCGCGGGCTGGGAGCGCTGCCGGGGTGGCTGCTGCTGCTGAGGTCTGAGGGGCTCCTGGCAGCTGTTTAGGGACACGAGGGCTTTGGGCCATGGGAGAGAAGAGGGGTGAAATGCTGCCAGTGTCCCACCTTTGGCAGTGCTGGAAAATGCTTGGGCAAACCTTGAGCGCTGGGCCTCACACTGCCCCGAATGGCTTCTTGCCAGCACCAAAGCTGAACCAGGGACCCCCAGAGCTGGGGCTTGGGGCGGGGAGGTCCCACCGTTTCCCCTGGCGCTGCTGACCCCCGGCTGCTCTTGCCCCGCAGGTGGAGCGGCAGGGCTTGGATGCCTCGGCCAGCGTGGCGGCAGTGGAGGGGGTGCCGGTGGCAGCGGTGGAGCGCTGGGATGAGCAGACGGGGACCCAGCGGCTGCTGGAGAACCTGGCAGCGTACCGGGCCTTCCGTGTCCTACTGGCCCAGATGCTGGAGGAGCACCGGGAGCAGCTGGGGGAGGCCGACACTACCCTGGGCCGGGCGCTGGCGGCCGTCCTGCTGCAGGTCTCGGCCTTTGCCTACCACCTGGAGGAGCTGCTGCGGCTGGAGAGCCGCGGGCCCCCCAGCGAGGAGGGGGCTGCCCCCCCCCCAGCCCCCCAGCTCGGCCTCTTTGAGAGAAAGCTGCGGGGCCTGGGGGTGCTGCGGGAGCTGGCCCAGTGGGCTGTCAGGTCTGCGCGGGACCTGCGGCAGCTCGCCAAGGCCAGCCCAGGCAGCAGCTCGGCCCCCAGCTGGGCTGAGAGTCCCTGAAGGTGGGTGTGGGGCGGGGGGGACTGGGGTCCCACTGGGGCATGGCAGGGGGCCCCCTGACCGCCCCTGTGCAGGGCTGCTGACAGCCAAAGGGGCTGTTCAAAGAGGTGGGCAGACAGAAAAGACCATGTCATTAGCCCCAAAGGCCCCCCATGCTTTTGGTGCCGCTCCCTGCGGGCTCCTTTCCCTGTGGGGAAACTGAGGTATGGGCTGTGCTCCGGCCCAGAGGGAGGGGGATCCCCAGGCAGGGCCAGACCCGGGGGTGGCTCGGGCTCTGCCTGCTGGGGGGTCGGAATTATCCCCCAGGAAGCAGTTTTGCTGCTCACCCCAGAGTCCGTGGTCCTCAGCAGGCTGCAGCAGCGCCGGCCATTTCTTTGAAATGTGGTTGCTGCTCAGCTTGTAGCAGAGGAAAGCTGCCTTGGGGCTCTTGCAGAAGCAAGGCAGGGACAAAGGGACAGAAAAATATCATCTGGTGAAAGGAGTCTTGGGACCTACCCCCCAGCAGCAAGATGCAAGGCTTCACCTCCTTCACATGGACTCTTCTCCTGCCTGGCTCGCATTTTCTGCGCATTGAATTTCTGCTCTAATTACCTGGGGGCTTTTTTGGTGGGGGGGTGCTTGCAATCAGGAGGGGATTTCTTAACTGCTTGGACAAAGTAACAGAGGGGATCTTTTAACTGAAGGCTGTGATTCAAAAGACCCTCTGCAAGGAGGTTTGTGCCTCCAGGGGCTATTTTGGGACTGGAAACGACATGGAGGATTAAACAGCCCCAACCACATTGCTCACCCGGTGAAGGGGAATGCCGTGGGGTTTTGCGGCTGCCTGGGACATGGTTTTCTTGCAGAATGGATGTCATGGCTGCTGGCTGCTGAGCAAATAAAAGGCCTGTGAGATCTACTGCGGTGATGTGAATTCCTGGGGGAGGTGGTACAGTGGGGCTCAACCTCACCAGAGACCTGGGCTGCCCCATTCCCATCCCAGGGAAGGGTCAGTCCTGGTGGGGTGGGAGGTCTGGAGGGGATGGGACCCACTGGGAGGCTGTGGGAAGATGACGGAACTGGGGATGAAGGAGCTGGAGGTGGTGGGACGATGAGGAGGTGGGGAGGGGTTGCTGGGCTTGTGCCCCATCCTGGTGTGGCCTGTGCCTTCCTCCCTGACCTGCAAGAGGGAAGGGAACGCGAGGGGACACCGGGCGCACAGAGTGGGGAGGAGGCTGGGGATGTGACTGGCCAGGCCTGCACAAAGCAGCTTTGTGGTGGCTGCAGCACCAGGCACTATGCCTGACCCAGCGCCGGCGGCGTCTGCGTGGGCATGGGGGGCCCTGGACTGCAGCAGGACAAATGGCAACACAGGGCCTCAGTGCCACATTGGGGCAAGCAGGGCCGTGGGGTTAGGGCTGCCCTGCAGGATTGGGGTGAGGGTGGTTTGGGGGTGTCCATTTTTTTGTGGGTGATGCCCAAGAGGAAGAATGTTCTTCATTGCCACTTATTGGCTGACCTCAGGTTTGCAGCTCAGACCAGATTATTTGCAATGTTTCTGCTTCCCTGCATTTGTGAATAACAATTTTTCACCTTTATTTTTTTTTCAGGATTAGTCAAAGGAGGTCCCTTTCCCAGCAAGTGCTTCTTGCTCCCCATCTTGTCTGCTTTGTGCGCTTGAAGCCATCTTGCCTTTCTCCCCTTGCACCCCTGGGCTCAGCAGTGCCTGGGTGCTCCCATCCTCACCCACCCACTGCCCCTTGCCTTCCTGATGCGGGCACACACAGCTCCTGTGCCACACACACCCACTCCTGAACCTCCTGACCCGAGCAGGTGGGAACAGACCCCTTTTCTCCTGCCACCGCAGCTGGGTGTGGGTTGACCTTCACATCCCTGGGGAGCTGGCCCCAGCCCTGGCACAGGTCCCTGACACTCGATCCTTCCCCATCAGCTGCTGGTGCCGCTGGGAGCCCAGCTTTGCTCGAGCCAGAGCAGCTATGGGGGTCAAAGGTGGGCGATGATGTTGTTCTGGGGGGCTTCCCTGGGCTGTGCAGAGCAGCGTTAATCCCTGCTTTTGTAACATTCCTTATTCCTTCCTTGCCAGTGGGGCTGGGCACGTCTGTGTTTGCAATGCACCCACAATGCTTTGAAATGGCCACTGTAACAAACAATAATGTAAAAAAAGCAAACCATAATCCAAACCTCCATGGTCTGGCTGAGTGAGAGGTGCCAGGTCTCAAGCTTTCCCCACCAGCAAACCCTCACCACACAGCAGAGAGGTGGTGATGTCTGAGCCTGCCAAGTTCTAATGTTATTTTTCAGCTGTGACCCCAAAGGGAATCACTAATAAACTGATTTGGTGAGAAGAGGGGCATCTTGACGGCTGGGCTCCCTGGCTGCTGGGAGGCCCTTTGGACTTGCATTGCTGCAGGCTGAAGTTAAATTGATCTGTGTGGCTGGAGGTGACCGAAGCTGTTGATTTTGGAGACAGAAATGAAGAGCTTGATGGGAAGACAGTCATACCCCCATGGGCAATGCCACTTAGGACCCCAAATGGCTTCCTGCAAAGTAAAAACCCACCAAAAAGCCATCCAAGGTTATCATTTGGGAAGAGGATTTGCAGTGCTGGTGGAAATGTGGAAAGGAGGTGGGAGGCCTTGCTCCTGAATTGCAGTGAGAAATGAGCCACCAAAACCAAGGGATGGATGTGTTTAATTTAAAAAAATAAATGTTTGGGTTAAACATGTGGGTTGGGCATGCTCTGTGGGGATGGGAAGGTTTTAAGGCACCTGAGGCTGCTCCCTGACCTCAGGTATGCCTGTACCTGGGTGCTGGGGTGCGGGGCCAGCCGAGGGAGCCCGGTGTGGCGGGCAGACGGGGCTGCGCGGCACCCGGCGACAAGAAGTAGCGCAAAGCGACGCATCTCGCGGAGCCCAAATGGGGCGTTGAGAGGGAATAAATTCATCCCTCACCCATCATGCACCAGAGGCAAGCAGGGTTCAGCCGTGCCAGTCCCATCAGCTCACCAGTCTCCTTGCACCATCCCAGACCAGCATCGCAGTCCTGGCTTTTGACTTTCTGATCCTGGGCTGGGGGTGAGCGGGGGGAGAAGTTCACCAATGTCTTCCTTTTTAATAGCAGGAAAACCTTTTCCTCCTGCCTGAGTCAGCAGAAAGGATTTCCCAGGGTTTCCCCACTGTGGTCTTGGCTGCACTTGCCTGCCTCAAAGGCACAGGTGAAAACGCAGAGGAGTGTCTCTCCGCTGCTGTGCTGCCCTCCCTTCTTTCAAGAAAACACGCTTTGTGTGTGTCTGTGAGGGTGAGCTGGAAGGAGAGATTTGCTTGAACTGTGGTTTGCCTCCTCTCTCACCGCAGCACTTGCCAGCTGGCATCACTGCAGTTAGTCCCCACCTGTTTCTTTCCTCCTTTTTTTTTTTCTCCCTCCCTTCCTTATTTTTCCCTCTATTTAGGTCTTGCCTAATGGTTTCTCACCACAAGCACCGCTGGCGGACGCTCGGCGGGCTGGGCAGTGCTGGGGAAACAGGTTTGTGGGGAGAGGAGCTGCAGCAGCACCTGAGCTCGGCTCCTGGGGAGGAGTCACTGGGCTGGCACGGTCCGCGGCCTGGGGGGTTTGCGGGTGCTGGGAAATCCCTGGTCACGGGGCAAGGATGCAATTTGTACAGTTCTCCCCAAACCAGGCAATGGTGGGTGTTTTGTTTAATATCCAAGAAAATTAGTGTTTTGTATGTTTGAGCACAGGAGCATTAAACGAGGTGGGACCTGATGCCGGCACTTGTCTGTGGCCCGCACCCTGGCGTGCGGGGCCCTGGGGTGCTGCTCGGGGCGCTCGGCAAAAGAACAAGCTCAGGATGAACTTTTTTTGGGGGCCGTGGGGAAGGGCGAGCAGCGGCTGCTCTGGCACCGGGGAGTCACTGTACAGCGG